GTGTGTGTGTGTGTGTGTGTGTGTGTGTGTGTGTGTGTGTGTATGAAAGTGTAAGCACAGGATTGTCCTCTGATTTTAAATTTTTACTGGCTACCAAAAACCGGTAGCCCAAAACCCAGACATTTAGCGCCCTCTGCGGTCAAGGTCCGTCGCAGCAAACTTCGCCCTGGAGTCAGACCGACCCCTTCGGCCGGCGCTTCCTTGCCCCGCCCCTCGGCAGTCACGTGGGCGGAGCCAAAGGGCAGAGGCAGGCTTAACGCATGCGCCCAGAGCCCCTGGATGTACCGCCCTGCAGGGCCTCTGGAACCCAGCAGAGGGCGGCAGTTGTCTTCTTACAGACCGCCTGGTGCCGCCAAAGGCCCCAGGGTTTCACCTCCGCCAGGCGGGCCTCCGGACCCCGCCCCCAGGAGGCTTCCAGGGCTCTCGAGGCCTAAGGGGGCTGTGGCGGCAAGATGGCCTCTCCGCCTTAGCCAGGAAACCTAATGGTAAGACTAAACAGGGATAAGCTCCGTCCCCACTTTGCTTTCATCGCCACCGCCTTATCCCTAGTGCCTAAGCCAGCCCCTGGATATAGTAGGCATTCAATAAGTGCTTATTGGTGGAATAAAATGAATGAATGAATGAATGAATACTTAAATGCATGGTCGGAAGACTTTAGAGACACCTCGTGTCCTGTGTTGTGACAAGAGGTCCAGGACAAGAAATCGGGAGAGTCTATGGGGATGGGGTGGCCAGGCACAGATCAGGGCTCCCTAGGGGGGACTCCTCTCTCCCTTATATTCTGCCAGCCCCTGCCTTGGCACACCCAAAGGTTTGCCTAGTGCCACTACACCATCTTGTGGGCACAGAGCCCAAGAAGGGATACTAGGCTTATCTAACTCTGTCAAGAACAGGAGTCTGTCCCCAAAGACTAGGCAGTCAGATCCTGGCTGCCTGCAGGGAACACCTGACTGGCAGGTCGGGTAGGCCTGCTGCTCTATGGCCTCTAAATGTTAGGAATTTCCTCAGAGCCAGTGGGAATTTCCAAACTGCCTCTGATCTGCCAAGCTCCCACAAGGCCCAGAGCCAAGGGTCAGCCTTGGAGATATCTTCCCCAAACTCTCCACACCCCTGCCCCCAAATCTCACAAAGATTGGGTCACTCCCCAAATCTCAAAAAGACTAGGGTCACTTCTCATCTACTAAATGCATCAAATACACTATATTCCCATCCCACCCCCTCTGGCAGACATGTGAGAATGAGCATAATAAACCATTGTTCTCTTTTTCATATAAATGACAACTCTTCTCTATTTCCACAAAAGAAAAAAAGAAAACCAGTTTAAGAGTCAGCCATACTGAAATAAATACAATATCAATAAAATCTTCCTGTGTATGAGAGTTGGTGGCCTGTGGTACTTATTCTCAAAGTCAGAGAGGCTCCTTTAGGTGCACTTCAGCACCCCCCCACCAATACTGGACATTCATAAGTATTTGAGGATCTGTGCATTTCCCTCTGGAGGCCCCTATTGGTCATGTTTCTAGAAACCTCTGAAATAAAAGCAAAGCACACATTCAATCCCCACAGAAGCAGAAGAAAGCAAAAGCCTCTGCTTTGCCTGCCAGCCCTCTGCCCCCACTGGAATGGCCCTGCCAAACCCACTGGGCATGTGAGCACCTGTGTGTAACCAAGCTGGGCAGAAGACACGCTTGGTAAGATGGGGAAGCACTGCCCCAGTTGTGTGGCACAATGCCAGAGACCTGTTGGCTCTGGGGCACCAGGATTCCAGAGCTGGTAAAGCAGAAAAATTGCCAGAGAGAACAATCCTTCCTTCCTGATAGGAAGGGGAAATGTCACCAGCCTCACTGCGGGGAACTGCAGGAACAGACAAGTTTCAAGAAAACACTTCCTCCTTCATTTCTTGCTGGGAGTGGTCTGGAGCTTCCAAGTCAATATGGTAGCTACTAGCTATGGGAGTTATTAAAACTGGAGTTAAAACAGTGGGGTACTTCTCATTAAATTAAAATCAAATAAAAATTTAAATTTAGTTCCTCAGTCACACTAGCCACATCTTTCATACTCAGTTGTTCCATGTGGTTTATGGCCACTGAGTTGGATAGCACTGACTACAGTACATTTCCACCTTTGCAGCTTGCTCTGTTGGACAGGTCTGGTCTAGAGGTTCCCCCTTCCAGTTTGTCCTCATCATTCTTGCCAAAGCCTTGTTTAGGTGGTACCTTTACCTACCCACTGTCCTCTCTCACCCCTGCCCCTAAATCTTTTTAGATTCCTGTCTGCATCTGTCCTGTCTTATTTTCTAGGCCTCAAAAAGAAGTAGGGGAGGGGACTGAAATCACAATTAACACCCAGCCTGAGAGCAGAAGCCAGATGCCATGAGGCTGAAAAGAGCAGACTGAATGGAAGGCTTCCCCTATCCCAAGGCATCCAGGCTTGGGAGAAAGCCCCTCAGTGCCACACAATCATTCCTTGTTTCTGTGGTCTCTGGGCCATGCATGGCTAAGACATCTGGAATGTAGTGGCCTGAGGGCTTCCCTAGCATCCACTGCAGGACTCATCTGATGTTAGTGCTCCAGAGAGAGACATCCCAGCAGAACCCTGAACAATCAAGGGCAAATAAGGCCAATCAAACCTCTTCCAGGGCAGCATGCCAGGAGTTCTGCCATGGGGTGGTGAGGGCCATAACTAGACACCTCCCTGTGCAGCCAGCTGGAGGAACCAAGTGAGGAAGGAGAAGACAGTAATGGACTCTGGGCACCTGCAGCATACCAGAGAGACTCAGATAAACTCCACCAGGCCTGGGTGAATGGAAGAGCAAGGCAGTACAACGTGGGTCTGAAAGCCATCGTGTTATATCACAGGGATTCAATCTGACAGGTTTGGCTATAGTAGTTAGGAAATCTGAGCAGGGAAGTCAGGGGGCAAGCAATTATGTGTGATGGAAAGAGGGGAGAGCAGACCTAGGAACTGGCAAGTCAAGGCTGCCTTTCTGTTCTATGCCTCAGTTCTTGCTTAGCCCTAACCAAGGTGTTCTGTCAGGACCAAGACAAGTGTAAAGAAATACGATAAGCTGTAGAAAGCTCTATCCTCCCAAAAAAGGTGAGTGTATGCCAACTGGAAAAAAGGGGAGAAAAAAGCCTGGTACTCCAAAGATAGTGGCATCAGTTAAGAATTGACTGGAGGAAGTCACAGAAAAAGCAGCACAATTCGAAATACTGGCATCAAACAAGAGACCAGATTGGAAACTCAGGGCCAAGCCATGCCACTCTAAAAAGACACGTGGCCTTGAGTACGCTTGGGCCTGTTTCCCCATCTCCATCCAAAGGCACTTTGGGCAAAAACACCAGCCTGAGGACAAGGGTAAAGGACTCACAGCTGAGTCATTCACAGGAACAGAGCCTGTGGCATTCTTGTGGGCAAATGGTCCATGCTACCAGGCACAGAGTGCTTCCCAAGGTGTCAGAGATGGATTAATGACCACGATAAGGGTGCTCACTTTGTAGCCATTACAGTAATCTTCTCTAATTCATGAGTCCACTTGCTGCAGTTTTAGTTATCTATAGTCAACTGTATTCCAAAAGTATCAAGTGGAGTATTCCAGAAATAAAAAACATCAGTTTTAAATAACTTTTATCACAATGAGTAATTGTTCTTATCATTACTGTTAATTTCTTACTGTGTCTAAATTATAAATTTTAAAACACACACACACACATATATACACACTATCCATAGTTTCAAGTATCACTGAAGGTCTTCAAATGTATTCTCTGTGGATAAGAGGGGACTACCGTATTCAAGGGCACTATTTTGAGGCCCTAGTTAAGTGATTTTATATGTATTGATTTATTTAATTCTCAGAACAACCTTACAGGGAAAGTATTATTTTCCAAATGAGGAAAACGAAGCCCAGAGAAATTAAATAATTGCCCAAGGTCACTTAGCCAATAAGCAGCAGAGCCAGAATTTGAACTGGGCAGTCCAGCTGGAATTTACATAATGCCCAACACATACAATTTATCAACAATACACACACAACCACAAGTTCATTCCTGATATTTCTGGGTCCTTCTGAATCTGCTGTCTTCCTTCTCATTCTTCTCTCAAATGAGCTAAAAGCAGTTTCTACCACCAAAACCAGCCCTTTCATCCAACTATTTGCCCACTATCTATTCCTACAACAATAATAAGAGTTGCAGATTGGAGATTTTGAAGAGAACAAGTGGGAAAAAGGATAGGGGACCCTTTATAGGATGTGTTCCTCTTTCAGTGGCACAGAAAAGAGACCTGAAAACCAATAGTTGAAGAACGACCAAGAGGCTGAGTAGAGAACCCAGGGCTCTGATGAAAGCAGGAAAACTCAGCCTCTCTCCAGAGACCAAGTCCTATGATTTACAGCCAGCACTCCCCGGGACAGAGAAGGTGATGGATGGTTAGATAAGAAGACCGGAGCTAATGGTAGAAGTGCTTTGGAGGTTCCTGGGAGAAAAAGATATCCCAGTTCAGATTCCAAAGCAGGGTTTGTATATGGCACCCAGGCCATTCCCAAGCTAGCTGTCCTGCCACAAAGCCCAGTTTTGCAGTTCTTTTCCCTAGGTCAAGGCCAAGTAATGATGAGGGGAGGCAAGGAACAATAAAGAAGCCCTGGGTGAGGAATGCAGACAGGCATCTGTGAGACTGCAAAGGTGATTCACCTCCCACGAGGGAGAGTGAGGGCATTTTTGGTCAGATGGTCAGGCTGGCACTCCTTACCTTCTCAAAGCCTAGGCCTCATTCCTTCCTCCCCCTCACCCCGAACAAGAAACTCCTGTCACTGTTCAGAAATCCTGAGGCCAGAATCCCAGGCTGTTGTGCATGAGGCAGGGGCTCTCCCAGGGAAAGCCAAGTGCTAAGGGGAACTGGGATGTTTGCTGGTCACTGGATTCCAGGAAGACAGACCACAGCAGTCCCCCCAGCCTTTTCAGGCCCCGGGCCCAGTTTTCCTCTTGACTCTATTGATCTTGACACATGTCCAAGTGAGTGGTACTTGACCTCACCCTGTGCCTCTGTTCTTTAGGTAACCCAGGCGCCTGCTGAGGAGGATGCAAGGCTGTGGCAGGCCCAGCAGACGCTGGGTCCCCTGATGCCTGGAGTTCGAGGCACACAGATTGCAGGGTACCATAGCCTGGACTACCCCAGGGAGAGCAAGGTAGAAGATACCAGCCCAGGCAGGGAGGAAGCTTTTTACCACTCTGAAGCCAGAGCTCCTGCAATCAGCTCCAGAGTCAAACCAGTCCACAAGGAGATAGATGGGGGTGGGATGGGGGCTGAGGCAGAGCCCCCACCAGGAAGAACTCACATGAGGAGACAGTATCAGTCCCTTCCCCCTTGCCATGCCCCAGAAGGTCCCCTGGGATCTCTGGGTACTTTCTCCTCCACGGAGCTGGGCATGAAACTGCGTGCCATGCTGCCTGATAGTGCTGTCACTGTTTGGCCCCTAGCCCATACCACCCAGGGCCAAGATCAAGAATTGTGCAGATGTCTTCAGTTGTGGTGAAAGAAAAAGCTCCTTGATCATAGGGATGGTATCTTGGGGCTTTCTCCTCCACAATGTGACTCTGAGCAAGTGCTCCTTAAGTCTTCCTGACATCTACCTGACTGCTTAGGACATTTATACTTGGCCTTCTCTATAACTCAGAGCTGTCTCTCCTTCCTCTCTCAAAAGCCCTCTCCGAACCCAGCGTCAGGGGAGCCTCCTTGTCCCACTGGAAGTGCCCTGGGAAGGTCTCCCTCCCTGGGTGTACCCTGCTTGCCACAGGGCCTGACAATGAGAGAAGCTGGAGAGGCAGAGAGGAAGTGAGTCAGCTCCTTGCAGAAATGGGACCGAGGAGGAGCCAGCAGAAATGAGATCAGAGGGCAAAGGGCAAAGGAGTCAAAAAGGTCACTGAGAGGAACCAGGGCCTGGAGATGTTGTGGGGCCCACAGAGTAGAAGATAGATATGGGTGACAAATTCAGCAGTGCCCCCTACTGCCATGGGTGGTGGCCCTGGTAGAACAGAGAACCTAGGTCTGCCAGGCAGGCCCCACCTGAGGTTGGAATTTGAGGTGGTTTCCCTTCCTGACTCACACAGGCTAGGGGAAGTGAGGCCTTGTGGGAAATGGCAAGCCTCTTCTCTCCCCAGAGAGGTGGAATCTCAGCTCCGAGGCCTCCTGCTGCCTCTCCTGAGCCCTACAGCTCCAAAAGTCTGGATTCCCCCCAAACAGCCCTAGGAGAGAGATTTGTTTGTGTCTCTCAGAGGGGACTGGGACTGAGTCTGGGCCCCAAGAGCAGAGCAGTTCCAGAAACCCTAGCACGGGTCCCTGCTCTCTCTAGTGGCCCCTACCCATGTGGGAGCTGTCCTCAAGCTCCAGCTGGAATCTGTTGCTCTGACTGAGAAAGATCCTTGCTGTGAAAATTCCCAGCCTGCTGACATTCCAGAAATCCAGGGAAAGCAGCAGGAGGGCAAAGGAAGCATTGAGCCCTGCCTGGCCACATTCCAACCCCTCAGAGACCTGAAGCCAGTGAGACAGGCACATTCCTCCAGGGTCCCCTAGACGGGACACTGGGTGGCCCCATGTAACCCTGAATCTCCTTCTCTTGGGCCAGGTGACTCAATGAGGACTCCTGTGCAGAGGCAGGAGGCAGGCTGTACCTGGGACCCTCCTTCTGTAGGCTCTGGCTCCTGGAGGCCTACAAAGCCCAGCTCTCCTCTAGTGCTATGAGACATCAAGTATCAGGACACAGAAGAGACAAAGTTAGTGGGTGGAGGCAGCTCTTGGTAACATACTTCAGACAAGCTACCAGAGCCCATTAAGGAGGAGAATTCCAGGAACCAAAACCAAGCTGAACAAGGAAGGGGAGATGAGCAAAAGAGAAACCAGTTCCTGGTTAGAGAACCACCTTTTCTTCAACAAATATCCACTGCTCTCATGAAGTGCTCTAGCATTTGACAAATAATCTAACAACTAATCAGTCACAATCTTGATCGATGCTATTAAAGAGAAGGATGGTTTCTGCCAGAGTAGAGATCTGACATGGCATCAGGAGAGTCTCCCAAAGAAAGTAACAAACTGGGGCCAATGTGCATGAGGGTATGCAGCTGGGCAGGTACTATCCGTGGTGAAGCTAATAAAAACACTAGGGTTGCATACCCACTATGTGCTGGACTCTGTTGTCCTTGTTCCTTCATCCTTTTTCCACAATGCACACAGTACATAGCTCCCAACAAGGCAAAGGAGGTTGCCTGTGGTCATGGGTGACACTCTGGGGATCCTGACACCCCAATTCCAGTGATCAGTACCAGCATGAGATTATGAGCCAGAAAGGTAAGAGGCAATATCCCTGCCTCCTGGATCTACTCTAGAATGTAGCAAGGAAACTGCCTAAGGGGCAACAGTGTGTCTCTTCTCTACCTCTAGGGAAATGCTCTGGAACCTGCCAAGGCAGCTGACCCATCCTTTCTTGAAGCTTCCCCCAGTCATCCTTTTCTGCCTCTCCCAACTATCACCAGACTGAATCCTACCTGCAGCTACTTGGTGGGTTCACATCCTCTGGCTGACTGTCAGGAGACACTGAGAGCGCCAATCACACCCTTCTGTGGGACGCCATTATAAATTAAGAAAGAGGGTCTTGCTAGTTCAGCAAGCCTAAAAAATCTAGAATTTCTGTGTTTTTTCATATTCTCTCACAGAGCAAGAGAGGCCAATCACTCCTCGCTTCCGCTTCCCTTCCGAGGGATAGACAAGGAGATGAAGAAGTTCCTAGTGACACAGGCACTTAGTAGCTATGCAATCTTACACAATGTACTTAACCTTAACTGGTAATTTAATAATAGTAATCCAGTTTCCTTGTCTGTAAAACAAAGATCTTTATAATACCTACTTCAAAGGGTTGTTGGGAAAATTAAATGAGTTAAAATAATGCCAGACATCCAGTGAACTCTCGCCATGAGTCTCACCTTCCATTATTTTCCATGCCTTCCCTCAAGGGACTTCTGTTCAGCAGCATCTTAATCAAATACAGTAAACACTGCTTAGGGAGTGTGTCTGTGCTCTGCAAAGTACTGGGCACCGCACAGAGAAGCCCCTACGCTCTTCCGTGGCCAGAGTCTGCAAAGTGCCCATGCTCTATTGCACCAGGGCAGAATGCCATGTCCTGATTCTGAGGCACATACGGCGGGAGATTAAGGGAGCAAGAGTGGTGACCCAGGTCTAAGGAAATAGTTTCCCAACCAAACTAGAGCCAACAACTGAAAAAATAAGCTTTGGTGACACTGTCCCCTATATTTAACAGAACAGAAGCTGCTGCCAAACACCATGCGGGACTCTAAAGTTGGCTGCCCCCCCAAAAAAAAGCACAGCAGGGGGTGGGGGGCCTGTGAAAGTGCCACTCCTTTATAGTGCCTGTCTGGCAAAGTGGGTGCCCACAGTGCTGCTGGATGCCTGGGGCACATCCATACCCGCTGCCCAGAACTGACAATGGAGGTGCCGGGCGGCTTGCCCAGGCAGCAGGGGAGCCCCCACCTCAACTGGGTCATGGATCCCCCCCGCCCCAGATGCTGCCTTCCACCCCAGGCTGCAGGGAGGAGAGTCTAGCAGCTCAGTGCAGTGGGGTGGTGGGAACCCTGCTGGCAGGCAGAGAGCGTGCTTGTGGTTTCTGGGAAACGCTGCAGAGATTTGCAGCATTTTTAAAATACTTGTGCTCCCACCCGCCACACCCCCCCTTCACCCCACTCCCCAGCCACCCCCAGTCAGGGTGTTTGCCTATCTGGTATTTTCCAGAACTGTTTCAATGTAAATAAGAGAGATTAGAAGGAAGCAAAGGGCAGAGGGCAGGGTGGCTGGGCTATCAGTGCAGGATGGAATGGTTCTGGCCAGGGCAGAAGGGGGCCAGGGTAGGCTATATTTTAAGACAGTGCCCCTGTGCCAGAGCTCCAAGCTGTGCCTGCAAAAACAACCAATGACCAGGATGTGTACCCACACCCAGTCCAATGCACCCTGGGCACTGTGCCCACCACCCACAGGCTGGGTGGCCAGGGTACTATGGGGCTGACTATTGTTCATCTAGCATCTAACAGAGAAGAAAACAGGACAGAGTCTCCAAAGACAGAGAAGGGAGACTTGGCAGAACAAAAGTGACCGGGCCTACTGTTCTATCCCTGCTAGTCCTGTGCATGCCACTAACCCAAGATAGAGAACCCCCAAAATATCCCCAAAGACCTTCTATCCACCACTTCTTGCACCCTTGCCACTAGCCCACTGGCCTCTCATTACCAAAAGGACTTTTAGGGGTCAGGGATTTAGCTCAGTGGTTCCGACACTTGCCTTGAAAGTGCAAGGATCCGAGTTCGATCCCCAGTACCAAAAAAAAAAAAAAGACTTTTAATTAAGGTTTCACGCTTAGCACCCAAGCCAGGGATTTCTCATGGCAAGACTATTGTCAGAGGTGCCTGAAGCTTTGGCACAAAATAAAACAAAAATGTCCTGCTTAAAACAAAAACAAAACAAGAAAAAGCTCCCAAGGGTCATTTGGAGTAAAATTAGGAACAGAAGCAATCTAAAACACTGAACCTAGGCAACACCAAGCTGCTCTACCACCACCAGAAGCCCTAGGAAAGGCCAGCACTCAGAAGCCAGCCTGGCAGACCTGGAAACAACACAATTTCCAGGCTCTCCTTGGAATCTGCAGGTCCCACTTCTGACAGCACCCAGGAACCCTGGGGACAAGGCTGGTTTGTACCATTTCCACCCAAGGCTCTAGGGCTTCTACAACAACACAGGAGGCTCCCTGCCCTTCTCCTTTCCTGGATGCAGACAACTTTGATTGGCCAATCTCCTGCAGGGCCACTGATAACCAAGCTTACTCAGCTTCAAAAAGCTAGAAAAGGGTAAAAAGCACCCAATGTCCCCTTTCTTCCTTTAGCTGACTGTCACAAAGGATAGAGCTGAAGAGACAGTTTAGACAAAACCATCAGGAGTCCCCATGCACAAAAACTCTTACCAAAAGCAAGGACAGAGAGCGCCAGGGAGCTGTGAAATTACCTTCCCTGGATGGCTACACAGACCAGGCAGGGGGAAGAGTACTAATCTTCCTCAGCATTTTACCACCTGTCAAGGTGACCCAATCATAAGTGATCTTGCCTACTCCATAAACATGCTTGTTTTATTAAAACCTACAAAATATAGCACACAGAGAACATCTTATTTTAGCCTCCAATTCTATTCTTCTCAGAGGTACCAGGAGTGAGTTAGTTGGCATGCATCCTTTTCCAATTTAACCTTTTCAAACTCTGGGAGGAGAGAATACATCCATTTTATGGTGACCAAGGGTCACCTGTATGAGGAGGCCTTTCCTAATTGCTGTCTCTTCCACAGGGCGGAACTGGCTGCTGCTTCCTGCCTGCCCCATGCACCTGTACAGACTTCTGTTACAGCAGCTAAGGTACCCGACTTCAAGGAAAGATCATATTTTATTTATTTAATTCTCCACTCTCCAGCACAGCAGCTGGTCCTTAAGTTGATTTCACTGTTTATTGAGGGAATGAGTACACAGAGGCTCAGAAAGGTTTGGTAATTTTGGTAAAACCCAAACCTAGGTTTTACTGACTCCCAAACCCATGGTCTTTTCCACTGTTAGCTGCCCCTCCCAGATTCCCAAAATGGTAGAAATAGTTTAGATAGAAATGACAAGCTTTTAAGGAACCTGATAGCCCTAAAGCCTTTGACTACAAATCCAGGGTCCAACAGGATACTAAGTTTGACTTGGAGGAAGTGTGACTCTTCTTTAAAATACCCTGGATGTGCATGGTGGCACACACCTATAATTATACCACTTGGGAGGCTAAGGCAGGAGGATCACTATGAATTCAAGGCAAGCCCGGGCTACATAGTTCAAGGTCAGCTGAACTACATAGTGAGACCCTGTCTCAAAAAAAAAAAAAAAAGGGCCAGGTATTTAGCTCAGTGGTTCTGCCACCTGCCCGTCCTTTCTGAGGAGAGGACCCATACAGGTCAGCTCCTTTGGCTTTTTCACAGGGAATAACCACATTTGGCCAGGGCTTAAGCAGGTAGGTTTTTCTGAACTCATCAGAAGCATCCTACATGCCTGAACAATCCATTTGTCCCCTAGGATGGCCCACTGGGCATACAAATGGACGGGGCTGCCTCCTTCTCTCAAGGATCCTAGACCCAGTCTAGCCTCTGCACCTTCTCTGTGAGCCTTGACTTTCCCATCCAGACTCAGAACTGGAGGAGGTCTTTGATCTGGCCTGGATTTAAGATCCTGTTCTTTACCAACACCTCCCCTAACCTCACAGACTCAGGGAACACTTGGCATCAAGAAAGAAGGACCATCTTCCCCTCAAGCTAGCAGTTACACTTGACCTCTAGTCACCCTCAGCTCAGTCATCAGGACTGAGCACCCATGTCGGTTGCTGAAGTCTGATACTCTGTCCATCCACACTGCCTCTACCCAGGTTGGGACCTCCATCCACTCCACTAGGGCTACCCTAAGAGTTTCACCATGAGTCTTCCCACTGCAACCCAGCTTGCCCCCAAGGATTCTCCCGAAGTCCCAGATTCTCTAAACATTTCCTGTTACTTCTTTGTGAAATGTCCTCATTGCCCTTGGGTTAATGTTCATATTCTCAACATGGCTCATGGGTCCAGGTGGCCTGGCCTCTGCTTCCTTCTCTTGAGGCTTCTCTCAGCATTCACTTCCCTCACATTATCCCCCAAAATGTGTCAAAATGTTACTAAAATGTGCCATTTCTCTCTAACTCCTAGACCTTCACATGAGCATAATCATAGCATAGCTTTCCCCTTCCTCTTGCCTCCCATTACTACTCTACTATGCAGATCTTGGCTTTTGATGATCTAAGCCTAAACTTGAAGCCCTTCTTCTATGCTCCCCAGTACCCTGCACTGGCCCTTGTCACTAAGCTGCTCTAATCGCATGTCATGGTCTTTTACTAGACTATGCATTCCTTGGGGCTGGGGCAATGTGCATCTCACTGCTAGACCCTAGGACCTAGTACACAGTAAGTGGTCAACAAATGTTTATTTAATGGATAAATGGATGGAAGGATGAATGGCAGAAGAACGAGCTGCTTTGCTCAGGACTGCTGAGCGATTTCTGTCAGGGTCCAAGTTTATCCTACTACTGAGGCTGACCTCTACTCTCCTTGGAACCTCAT